TACCTGCTGCTGCTCTTGGTACAGCAAGCATCACCTCATGGTCCTGGCCTCTCCAAAAAGCTGGGGTCTCCACTGAAACTGAGACTGTGCCTTCACCAATCAGCCCTTCTGACCTCTCAGGGTGCAACACCTCAGATTCTGTGACCCATTCAAATCCTGGGGGTCTTCACAACACTTGAGGCTGTACTTTCACCAATGGCCTTTCCTGGCCTCTCAGGGTACCAAGCCTCAGCTGCTCTCTGTGAGCCCTTCATGCTTTCAACACCAGAACCATGCAGGAGACTCTTACACATTACCAAGTCCTGCTTTCAGCTTGAGATGGAGGTTTGGGGCCCCCTTTGGACCATAGCTTCTGTGCTGACCCTGAGGAAGTACTTCCCAGAAGATTTTGCCACAGTGATGCTGGTCTCTTGTTACTTACAGATGAGTTTTTAGCCCCAGCTAATCAGCATCAATTGTCCCAGTAAAGCAAAAGTTTTACTTCAGTGACTCTGGTCTCTTCTTAATCACAGCTGATTCTCCAGCCCCAGATTCTCAATTCAAAATATCACACAAACAGTCCTGATAATCTCTGCTTCCCTTTGATCCTTCACAAGCCAGGCCTCCATTGTCTACAGCTCTTTCAACAAAACTGTTCCAAGTGCCACTACAATAAACTCTAAGCATTCAGTGGCTTTTCTAGTCCAAAGTTCCAAATGCTTCCACAGTCCTCCCAAAAACAATTGAGCCAGGTCTGTTATAGCAATACTCCACTCCTGGTACCAATTTCTGTTCTAGTTAGCTTCTCTATTACAGTGATAAAAACACTGACCAAAACCAACTTGGGGAAGGAAGAGTTTATTTGGTTTACATTTCCTGGGTCACAGTTCATCACTGAGGAAGCCCAGGATAGGAACTCAGGGCAAGAAACTGAAGGCAGGAACTGAAGCACAGGCCATGAAGGAAAGCTGCTTAATGGCTTGCTCCTTTGGGCCATGCTCAACCTTCTTTCTTATACAATACAGAACACCCTGCCTAGGGGTGGCACCACCCACTGCCCACAGAGAGCTGGGCCCTCCTGCATCACTCAACAAGAAAATGCCCCACAGACATGGCCACAGGCCAATCCAATGGAGGCAATTCCCCAACTGAGGCTCCCTCAACCCAGGTGTGTTAAGTTGACGACAAAAGCTGTCCAGCACAGTGGATTTCTTTGCAGACTTGTAAAGTCTCAGAACACTTACTTCCAGTGAAGAGAGGGCTCTGAGGGATACACTCAAGGGTTTAGCTAAAGAGAGTTTCATGAAGGAAACAGTGATAAGAAGAGCCTTCCCAGTCAAGGGGATTGATGATGGATGGTAGAGCATTCAGGGATGAATCCAAGCAGGACTCTGCTACTAAGTCTGAAGAAGAAGAGAGGAGGACTGGTTGTACCCAGAGAGCTGAAAAGTCACAGAGCAGAGCTGAACTATAGACCAATGTGAGGACCAGCATTAATTCAAGACAAGGAAGGAGTGAGGAAGGGGGCTAAATACCTTGGCTTCTCTCGTCTGTTCTTGGAAGGTGAGTGGGGGGAGGATGACACTTATTATGAGGAATGGGTATTGGGGGAGATGCTGATGCAAACCTAAGTCAAATGCCAGGAGACTGATGTCCCAGCTCAATAGACAGACAGAAACCAAAAAGAGTGAATGCCTCCTTCCTTCACTTTTATGTTCTGTTCTTGTGCTTAGTAGACTGGATGGTGCCCACCCACACTAGAGAGGTAATCTACTTACCCCACCAAGTTCAAATGCTAATCTCGGGTAATCTCAGCATGTTCATGGATGCTCCCTGAAGCAATGTTTTATCTAAGCACCCCTTGGTGAAATCAAGCCAACACAGAATTAACCACTACAGCAAGTGATGAGTGAGTCTGAGTTGGGGCAGGCCGGGGCGAATGAGAATAATCAGCACAGACATCCCTTGTGCCTCTGCATGCTTGGATATTTGTTTCCCCGCATGAAGTTCCATGAACTGTTATGTCATCATGTGGTGATCTTAGTTCAGTTTCACTTGAGATCTAAATCGTGGGTTCAGCTATCATCAGTGTTCTTCATGTAGGAATGAACTCACCAGTGGGTGCTAACACCCCCCACACAAACAGGAGAACATTATAGGTATTCTAATGTGGTTTTGAGAAGGAGCTATTGATGTGAATTGCTTTAGCTTTCATGAGAACGGACTGAAAAACGTTTTGCTGATACTGATACTTGGGAGCCATTGACGTGTTTTCATGTGGCCAGGTCACTAGGCACAAGTAGAGATTCTGTACCTTCCATGACCTGAAACTGTTGCTTCAGGAATAAAATATGGCTTTCAATATTCCAATTCAGTTATCAGGATTGCTGCAGGAGACCAAACTATCTGATCTGAAAAAGAAATTGATGACATGGTATCAGATATATTTTTCTCAATTTTTTCTTTAGAAAAGTTCAACCCTCTAGAGAAAGAGTGTAGTGAGCATATTGCTTTCATCTGGATGCATCAATTGGTAGCATTTTGCCAATTTGCTTTATTCTATGAGTGACAATATATTATATGTATCTTATAATACAGACAGATAAAGTAGCATACATATCGTGTGTGTATATTTTATTTAAAAATAGGTAGTAGGGCTGGAGAGATGGTTCAGTAGTTAAGAACACTGGCTGTTCTTGCACCCACGTGGTTCCCAGCATCCACATGGTAGCTTAACAACCAGTTAATGTCAGTTCCAGGGGATCTGATGACCTCTTCTGACCTCCATGGATTTTGCATGACACAGGTGCACTTACATACATGCAAGCAATACACTCATGCACACAAATAAAAATAATAAATAAAATATTAAAAAATTAAAAAATACATAGATCTGTTGACTACCAGTCATGGCAGGCATGCTTAGGAGGCTGAGATAAGGAAGATCATGAGTTTGAGGGCCAGTCTGGGCTACACAGTGAAGCCTTATCTAAACAACAAAAACAATTTAAGTAAATAAATAAAATAAATAAACATGGTATCTTTTGCTGCTTCACTTCATAGGAAATTGTCTTAATTAGTCTGGGGTACCATAACAAAGTTCTAGAGATTGACTGTCTTATAAATAATAATTTATTTCTCTCAGGTCAAGAGTTTAGAAGACTGAGATCAGGGTCTCAGCAAAGTCGGGTCTACTGAGGGCCCTCTTCCCAATTGCAAACTGCTGCTGCTTCATGTAGCTTCACAAGACAGACATGCCCAGAGATCCCTTAGATAGGAGTACTGATCATATTCAGTGCCTTTATGGTCTTAACTACCTGCTTAAGGCCCCACCTCCTAAAGCCATCATCTTGGACCGGAGATTTCAACATGTGCATTTTGGGGGAGAGAACACAAAAATTCATTTGATGTGGGATAGTTTGATAAAATTCCTGAATACCTCAGTAAAACATAAATGTCTAATATCAATGTGATTAAAAATCTTTTTAACAACATCTCCTTAGCTTGAATTTAGAAGTGATCTCTCTAGAAAAAAATACATACTCATACATACATACACACACAAACTCTTGATTTCTAAAATCTTTAATCTAAATATATAAAACCACCTGACATAAGGTGTCAAATAATTACTACTATTCAATATGACCTATAACTTTGTTGAGGATTTCTAATTTAGAAAAAAAAAAAGGGTAGGGAAACAGCTTATTGGATTGCTAAGATCCATACTGAAAAAGATGCTGTGCTGAAAAGCATCAAGGGGTATTCCTTTCAATAGTATAACACTACTTTTATTCACTTAAATGGTTTTAAATGAATAATGATATTATGTCATTTTTTTAATTTGTGAAAAATCTTTTAACTTGTCTAGATTTGTGCTATATGTTCATAAAATTATTTACAAGTAACTTAAGACAGTCTGAGGAATAATCACCAACTTGATATATTGGAATAAAAAAGTATAAATACAACTTTAAAAATACTAGGAAACTCTTCTTCTGTACACAGAGATTTAGTTAAGGAAGCTGCTAATAGGTGAGAGAAAAAAAAATCCCATGATTTAGTAGACCTCAACTACTTAATGTCTTATAAGTCAAAATTCTCAATTTTATTTCCCTTTAAATTGTTCAATATTGTAACATGCTTCATGCCATTCAGACTTAAAGTTTTTAAAATTATTCTGTCTCCTAAGTCACAGGAAAATAAGCTCTGAAGTTTGTTTCAAACATAGAAACTTTGGAGTTTTTAGTTAGAGTGAAACAAGGTGCTATATATGTTACATTTCAGGTGCTAATTTTAAAAGCATTAAAGCATTTATGTATTAACTATTTGTATTAGTTTGCTTTCTGTCAGACACTGAAACCATTTAAAAGGGGGAAGACTACCTGGGCTCACTGCTTCAGAAGGCTTCGTTCAATACTAGCTCTGTTGTTTTGGAGCTGCAATGAGGCAGGGCACCATGATAGAAGAACATGGTGGAGCAAAGCCACTCAGCTCATGACAGCCAGGAAGCAAAGAAAGAGAAGGGCCCAGGACCAGATACAGAAGATACAGCCCCTCCTCATCCCCAGTGATCTACTTCCTCCTAAGAAGCCCTACCTCTGGAAGTTTCCATCACTTCCAATAATGCCATTAAGTTATGAGTCCATGAGTAAATTCATCCATTGGTTAGGTCTCTTGACCCAATCACCTCTCAATGGTTTGGGTCCCCCAGCTGTGAACCAAACCTTCAACACATGAGTCTTATGGAGGACACTTCATATCCAAACCATAACACCACAACCATATTGTGTGCTATAAAATAAATATACAAATGAAAATTTTACTGAGTATGTAAACCTTTTTCTTATAATCCACAAAATGGCCACACCTAAACCTGCCATCCCTAAACCTAAGGAATCATGGATCATGATTTAACGGAAGATATGATCTTGAGTTTAAAAGTAATTGCTCATAGTATTACTATGCCTGGAATTGTGATCCAACAGCAGTTTTTAACATTAAATGTATTTGTCTTAAAGGAAGAATATCATAGGCGTAACTTCACAGAAGTACTCTCTCCAAACGTGTACAACAGTAAACTTTGGGAAGCCTCAGGCCATTGGCAGCACTACAGTGAGAACATGTTCACCTTTGATGTTGAAAAGGACATATTTGCTCTTAAACCCATGAACTGTCCAGGGCACTGGTGAGTATTAGTCTCGAAACAGACTCTGCACACATGCATAGTCCGTGGCACTTCATTATAGCTAGGTGTTTATATTATCATTTTGGTTTCTTTGAATTAAGTGATTAATGTAAAGAGTGGGATATGCTAATCATCTTAACCAGTGCAGAGATGGGGAGATGGTGGTTGTTGGCCAGTCAGTCTAGCCAACCAGTGAGCTCCAGTTTCCATGAGAAACCCTTTCTCAAAAAATATAAGGTGGAAAGTGACAAAGGAAAACACCGAATGTCATAAACCTCTGGCCTCTGCATGTGATTACCAGGCATGTGCATACACACACATCACACACATGCATACACACACAGCTATTTTCTTAGTGATACATGAAGATAAGTCCTACAATTGATGCTGTTTTAGATTTTATGGGACATTGTAATTATCATAAGGTTAGTGCATACATTCAGGTTTCTAAGATAAATGGAATGTACAGATAGAAGTGAATAGACACAGTCTTCTACACATACACACAAAACCCCAAGCTTGTTTTTTTCTTAGCAACTTTATACAGTTTCTAGTAAATTGACACTACAAGCCAAGTATTAAAATAGGTCTTTGAACACTGAAGGAAGCCTCTTACCCTCTTTAGAGATATATTTATTTATAACTTTCATGTGTATGTGTGTGTGCCTATATAAGTTCATGTGTAGCATTTGCATGTAGGAGCCTGTGGAGGGAGATCAGAAGAAGGCATCAGACTGCTGGAAATAGAGTTATAGGTGGTGGTGAACTGCCATGTAGGTCTTGGGAACCAAACCCCAAGTCTTCTGCAAAAGCAGTAAGCAGGCTTAACTTCTAAGCCATCTCTATAGTCACTGTAGTAAAGATGAGAAGAAATTCAAAATTTAGGTGGCAGCATGTAAAAGCATGTATGCAGATCTAATGCTGTGACAACTGGTATGTAAATAATCTCCATCCTTTGTCAACAGAAAGTAGAGGCTCAGCTAGTGTCCCACATTCTGAAAAGCACTGCTAATTTCTCAGCTTCCTTTCCTAGTAGGTACCATTTAAAGCTGTATCCTGTGGTTTTTAACTCTTAAGCTGAGTGAAATTAGAGAATATAATTTTATATCTTCATATTTTAAGATAAATAATCAGGAATCCAGTTCTAAAACCTGAGTGGGAAGGTAAGGGATTAAGGAAAAAGGAAAGATAAACAGCTGGGATCAGGAAGACCTGTAGGCTGATGGCCAAGCAGGCAGTTTATTGTAGAATTACAGTGCTTTTATACCTTATCTTATAATAGAATTTTATACCTTGTCTTATTATAGAACTTTTACACAGAACTGCAAGTTCCCTTGAACCGTGCAGTCTCATTAATCATTTGTAATTGTAGCTTCATTAATCATATGTATTTGAATCATCAGAACTAGTAAGAGAAAAATATCTGGAGACTGAGTGCCAGGAACTGTCCTGTGCAGGTTCAGTCCTGAGCCAGCTACAATAGGCCTTGCCATATCCTGTTGACTGTTCCCCACGGGGCCACACTATCTGCACCGGGCAGCCCTGAATAGTTAGCGCCCATCAAGAGCCAAGAATGCTTTCTACAGAAAAGAAGTCATTCATTCAACTGAGAGCCATAGCTGAACATTTTCCATGCTTGGTGCTAGACGTGCAGAGGTTATTCAGACACTGTCCAGATCCATTTCCTCCTGGAGCCCTTGAACAGAGGATACCAGGAACAGATGGGTAGACAATCATTGAAAACAATTGCATCATTGGACTGACACCATGATAATTACACATTTGAGGTGTTTATGGGACCAGAGGAGAAATTCACCAGCCCTCTGTCTAGAGAACCGTCCAGAGGGCTCCACTAAGAAAGTGGGCTCTGAAATGAATGGTGGACCATAAGTGGAGAGTCATTGGTGAATGAAGACAGGGAACAGCACTGGAAGAGATAGATAACACTGGAAGAGATAGATAACAGATAGAGTTCTCTCAGAGTACTGCAGTGATGTCAGCTTAAGCTTCAATATTTCCCAGAGGAAGGCTAGGGTTGTAGGTTAGTCATGTACAACCTTAACGTATAAGGCCTTGGGTTGAATCCCCACTTACCAGAAAGATAACCAACACAATAATAATTAACAGAAGAAAAATTCATCTGGTGATCTAAGAACCAGAAGGAAGCATTTTGACATCTTGAGACCCAACTGTAATTTTGTAATATTTAAATATTTTATTATTTTTATTTTATGTGTGTGTGCATATTGCTTGAATGTAGGTAAATGCACCCATGTCGTGCAATGCCCACGGAGGACAGAAGAGGCTGTCGGAGCCTCTGGAACTGGAGTTACGGACAGTTGTTAGCTGCCATGTGGGTGCTAGGATTTGAACCCAGGTCTTCTGCAAGAACAGTCAGTGTTCTTAACCGCTGAGCCATCTCTCCAGCCCCAATTTTGTAATATTTAGATAATCATTTTTCTCTCGACTTTGTAAAATCTGTACATTCCCACATCTTTTCTAGTCTAATGTTTGCCCATCGCCCACGATCCTGGAGGGAAATGCCTGTCAGATTTGCTGATTTTGGAGTTCTTCACAGAAATGAACTGTCGGGGACTTTAAGTGGCTTAACCCGAGTCAGGCGCTTCCAGCAGGATGACGCTCACATCTTCTGCACGGTGGAGCAAGTAAGAGGATGAGATGGGGAGGCATGGCTGCTACTGACTCACAGCTCAGAGCTGCTATGAAGTAGGATGTGTGGGCTAGTGCTATGTACCCACTGAGCTTAACACTTTCTGGTTTTCTAATTTAGGTTAAAGACATTGATAATTTCCTTGCATGAAATTTATTATTATTTTCCTTTCATTTCTTTCACTTATTCTAAGGGAATTTGGGATATTTATTTTCAGTATTGCCTGGAATTTGCAAGTTTATCTTTTTGTTTCAGATTAAAATTGGTAAAGATCACTATAAGATACTGCCAAACAATTTGACCCAGTAGACATTTATAAACAACAGCACATAGAATGTTTAGCAAGATATTTTACACCATAAGCAAGTCTCAACAAATTTAAAGAATTTAATAAAACAAATGTTCACTAACCACAATAAATTACTGTAAAAAATAACAGAAAGCTTTTTGAAATGCCTTCAAAATGTTTTGAAAGTAAACAAAATCCTTTTAAGTGACCCATAGATCCAAAGAGAAATCCAAAAGAAAATTAGAAAATATGCTATATGCAATGAAAATGAAAACACAATGTATTACAAGTTGTGGATACCATTCAAATAAAATATAAAGGGATATTCATATCACCTAAGCTACTTAAACCAGGAGAAAAGAGCCAGCGATATACAATGTAAACCAAAGAAAGAAAGTAAAGCAAGGAGCAAAGCATGAGACTGTTGCCATTTGGTCTTAGATGCCCCCTCGGGTTGGTATACTGAAAGGCTTGGTTGGTTCCCAGCTGCTGGTTCTATTGAGAGGTGTTAGAAACAAGGAAGGAGAGCCTTGCTGGAGGAAGTCAGGCCATGGGGGTTGCCCTTGAAGGTATATTGAGACTTCAGCCTCTGCCTGAAGGTACTGAGGAGAGCAGCTCTGCACTGTTTGCTCCTTGCCAGGATGCTCTGACTGGCACAGGCCAAAGCAACAGAGGCAATTGAGCAGAGACGGAACTCAGCAACCAGTGAGATCTTTCCTCCTTTTAAGTTGCCACAGTAACAGAGCTAGCTCAGAAATCATCGAGGCAGAAGTCACTGAAATAGGAAAAAGAAAAATAATAAGGAACGCCAATAAAAATCAAAAGCTTCTTTGAGAGTGTCAATAAAACTAATAAGCTATTTCTGAGATAAGGCATATTTTATCATTACAGAAAGAATGTATTAGGACAATACATCAATAGAATGAGTCTAAGGACTTAGTTGGAAAGCTACCAGGCCTTTTAAAGTAGCAGAAGTCCAAAATCACACACTTCAGGCACATTCGTGAACAACTTGTTGCCAGTAATTCTGGCAATGCAGATAAAATGGACAGTTCTTTGAAAAACATGACCTACCAAACTTGTCTTAAGTAGATACGGGCCCTGTGTCCCATGTAAATCAATTAAATTGACACAAACCTTCCCCCAAAGAAAATTCCAATCCCAGTTGTTTTCACTGATGAATTCTTCCAAATATTGAAGGAAGTTCTAAACAGAATTTCATAGAAAACTAAAGAGGAAAAAAGTACTTATCAACTCGTTCTAGGAGCTTCCATCGCTCTTTCGCTCTGAAACAAAACCAGACAAATACATTTCAAGAATATAAGGCACATCAAGTGTGCTGACACACACCTGTATTCTGAGCATTTAGGAAGCTAAAGTATCTCAAGTTTGAGGCCTTCCTGGGCTATATAAGGAGACCCTGTCTCAAAGAGAAAAAAGTTATCATAAACGTAATGTCAAAAATTCTACAAAAAAAAGCAAAAAAACCCTTTTTAGCAAATTGAATGCAGTAATTATTATTTATTTATTTACGTATTTATTCATTTAATCTATGAGACAGGGTCTTCCTGTAGCCCCAGCTGGCCTGAAACTGGCTATGTAGACCAGGCTGGCCTCGATCTCACAGAGTTTTGCCTGCCTCTGCCTCCCAAGTGTTGGGATTAAAGGCGTGCACCAGTATACCTGGCTCCAGAACATTTTTAAAAGACAGTGCACCTTAACCGAGAAGGCTCTGTTCCAGAATGGAAGACTAGTTTAACGTGAGAAAATGAACCATTTCAATTTACCATGTTATCCCAATGACAAAGAAAACATCTCAGTGATTATATCAGATGATTGCAGGAAAGTTCATTAGGCAAGCCCAACATTTGTTTCTCATTGAAAATTCTAAGAAACTGGGGAGGGAGGGGGACTTTCTCAGCCTAATGAAAGCACCTCTGAAAAACCCAAGCATCATACTTAGTAGTGAAGATCTAAATGCTTTCTCCCAAGGTCAGGAACAAGACAAGGATGTCAGCTCTCATTACTTCTATTAATAATTATTGTACTGGGGGACCTCTTGGTGAAATAAGAAAACACCTAGTTTGGGAAAAAAAAAGAACTTTTCACTTGCAGATAATGTAACCATCTCTGTTCTATGCCACGGGTAACAAAAAATGATAGAATGGAATCTACAAAAAGTTATAACTGAGTTTTAAAAATTACAGTATAGAATGTCAACAGTATAAAATGAATGAAATGAATTGCATTTCTATATAGTAGCAGTGAACCACTGGAAATCAAAAATAAGGAAGAATATATTTTTCTTTTTAGGGGGAACAATAATTTATTGTAGCAATATTTAGGAATTTATAATCCTTGGGGATACATCTATGGACTGAGTCATATCTCTAAAATATAGGGTTTGGGGAAGTAATACATTTATGTAAGATCATGAGGATGGGGCCCTTGTGATGGAGTGCTTTTGTATGATGAGGGACCAGAGGCTTGCTGCCTCCGTCTACCCCTCTGTACCACATGAGGACACATGAGAAGCAATCATCTCTAAGACATGCAGGGAGCCAAGTCCATCAGCACCTTGATCTTGGCTTTCTAGCCTCCATAAACAAGAGGACTGAGTTCCTCTTGTTTGAGCCATATGAGTCTATGGTTCTGTTTGTTGTGGCAGTCCACCTGATTAGTTACTGTACATGTGCATGACCTATACAGTGAAAACTATAAAACACTGCTGAGATAAACAAGAAGGCCTACATACACAGAAATACATAGTTTGCTCACAAGTTAGAAGATTAAATATTAAGATGTAATTTCTCCCCAAATTAACCCACACAGAGTCTGAAATGCCAAGTAATAACTAAACAGAACTTTTTGTAGAAACTGACAAGCTGTCTATCGCCATTATACTCAGAGTGCACCCTATCTTGTCTGATCTCTGAAGCTTAGCAAGATTGGACCTAGTTAGTTCTTGGTGACAACTGATTCCAAAACAATCTAGAATACCTCCCCCCAAAGAAAAACACTGAAAAAGAACAAAGTTGGAAGACTCACTATTGTTGATTTTTAAAATTACTGTGAAACTAAAGCAATCTGACACTATAATATTGGATCAAGTTAGATTAAATAGGTTACTAGGACTGAATAAAGACAATAAATAAATAAATAAATAAATAAATAAATAAATATCCATTTAGAGACTACTTATTTTTATTAAGTTTGTACAGTGCCTTTCATGTTGTGATAAAATACCCTGACAACAGCAGCCTAGGGAAGAAAGGGTTTATATTGGCTTTCAATTTTAGGTCATATTCCATGATTGTGAAGAAGTCAAGGTGACAGTAACATGAAGCAGCTCATCACATCCACATCAAGAACACAGAGGGAATGGATGCATGCATGCTTGTAAACTCAGCTGCTTCCTCCACACTTAGGCATTTCAGAATCCCTGCCTAGAGAATGGTGGTGCCACCTACAGTAGGCAGGTCTTCCTACCTGAATTCAAGTAATCAAGATAATCCCATAGAACATGCCCATAGACCAATCTAATCAAGACATTTGCTCAATGAGACTCTCTTCCCAGGTGATTTTAGATTGTGTCAAGTTGATAATTAAAACTAACAGTCACATATAGGCAATAAAATGAAGAAAAGGTACTCTCTTTAACAAATGCTAAAGTAGCGGGGCAGCAAGATGGCTCATTGGGGAAATGTACTTGCTGCCAAGCCTGATGATCTGAGTTACATCCCTGAGACCCCCATGGTATAAGAGGACTGACTCCGGCAGGTTGTCCTTTGACCTTCACATGTGCACTGTGGAAGGTCTGCACCCACACACCTACACAACATCACATGCAGTTAAATAAAATGTAAAAACAACAATAGCAAAAATGCTAAAATAATTTTTTTTAATTTTTTAAATTTTTTTTTAATTATTTAATAACCACATGATTAGAAGCATTTCATTACAGCATTAACATATTCAATAACAATTTCCAGAGCAAAGATGCTT